AGATTAGGACTCCATGCTCACTTCGTGTCCAGGACAAGACTCAGTCACACACACTTGATTTCTGAGGACACCCAACCACCAAAGTAGTACTTATAGTCCAATTTTTCCTACCTTGGCCCATGCACAAAGTTGTCTGGTTTCTATGGGTGGCTGTCTTTTGTGCCGATGTCAGTTTCACCATCTTCCGGAAAGAAAACAAAAAACAAAACAGTCTCAGGCCTATCTGTGGCCTCCAAGAAGAGACGGGCTCCCAGGCCAAGAGTGGCCACCCAAAATCGGGTGGAACATGTCTCCCCCTCAACTGGGGCACAGAAATCCCAGACACACCCCCAAATTGTGAGAAATGCTCACCAGTCCGAATTCAAACAATGGACTTGGAGACAGAAGTATGGCAAAAACGAGACCTTTAATATGGTCTTGCAAAAGCAGGTGTCCTTCCGGCTGTACAGGCACACACAGAGCAGCAGTCACAGGCTATTTATCTAGGGTGCGAGAGTCCCTTCTTCGGTTCCTCATTGGCTGGTAGTTTCCTCATATGTCACCTGGGTCTTACAGTCTCCCATTAGACCATTTCAAAATATGGGCTGAGGCCTTTTCTAGTTGTCTCCACCATCCCCTGTCTAATTGAGGTGGCACGTGGTGTTTCATCCTGGGCGCCTCTGGGGTTTCCACCATGATGCTAGCCCACGTCCACAGTTCTTTGTTCTTCTATCCTCTTCCCTCCTCCCTGCATTCTGTTTGCCCTGGGGAAACTCAGTAATCATTTCCATTAAAAGCTGACTTTGCTGGAGATGGATCACAGAGGTCTATTTTCCACAATATGCCAATGGGGGTGTAGAGGGCAGGCAGGCCCTAATAGGACCTGCTCCCAAATCCCTGATAATCCTTCGTATATTTTCAGGAACAAGCAGGCTTGTCATTCAGACTGTTAATGTAGGAAACATTCAGCCCAGCTGGCATGGCTCAGTTGTTGAGCATCGGACCTGTGAACCAGGAAGGAGGTCATGGTTCAATTCCCAGTCAGGGAACATGCCCAGGTTGCTGGATCAATCCCCAGCTGATTAATGATTCTCTCTTATCATTGATGTTTCTGTCTCTCTCTCCCTTTCCCTTCCTCTCTGAAATCATAAAAAAAAAACACATACATATGAAACATTCAAAGCTGGAAAGAATTTTTATGAGTTTATTTGAACCAAACTGACAACAATCCCTGGGAAGCAGAATCTCAACAAATTGAGATAAGGCTCTGGAGAATGGTGGTTTCTCATCTATTTTTATAAATTACAATCAAAAGAGGAGATGTAAGTGGATCACATGAAACCCATTGGAAATGGATTAAGGAGGCAGGAGAAAGCAAAGCAGGGAAACCTCTGGGATTGGATCAAAAGTAAAATGATAGACACATACTTCTTTCACTTAGGTGGTTCAGGATAGTTGACAGTCAACAATTCACAGATAACAATAACAATGGGGGAATCTGGGGTTTGAGACCAGGCACCCTGGTTGTGCCCCGAGGTTCCAGAAAAAGGGAAGTTATTAGTTACCCTGACATTCCAGGAGTATGTTATCTTAGCTGCAAAATGACAATAGGTTCAGTAAAGATCAAAGTGACTCTTTGTCAGGGAAGATACTAGCCTAGGACACAGCTACCCACTATAAAATGCTTTTTTAAATTAAAATGTTTTCATTTAAGACCATCCTTTGTGTTTACTTTAGGTCTCTGAGTTTGCAAGGCTGCCACACAGGCCTCCCCTGAGCTAGTCAGGTGAGCACGTGGCCCCCTTTCGTCCACAAAAACTGTCTAACTTAGTCTGGGTTTTTCCAGGCTTGTGCTTGGTCCTCTCCTAACCAATCCATGGCCTGGATCTCCTGGGGTTCTGCACCCCATCTAATCTCATTCTGTTTCTCTCTCATTGATGTTTCTAACTCTCTATCCCTCTCTCCCTTCCTCTCTGTAAAATATCAATAAAATATATTAAAAAAGAAAAGAAAAAGAAAAGTTACAAAGTATTTTCTCGAGTCCTGCTGAGCGCGCACTCACTCCTGCTGCACCATCTTGGCTTCCACTGCACAGGTGCTGAGCAAAGGAATTTCTCTGCTGCTTATCCCTCCCCTCTGTGATCCTGACCAATGGCTGGTTTCCCCAGACATTGTTCCTGCCCAGTGAGGGTGTGGTTGTTCCCCCGGGAGCCTGTGAATGCTGCAACTTCCTAGTGGCTCAGGCTTAATATCTGATTCCGCTCACCAGTAGATTAGGCTTAATGTCTGACTCCATTTGCTCCATTCATTTATTAATCCTCACCAGCCACTAACATTTTTAAATGTTAGTTTATTTTATTAAGGTTTATGTCATGATGAAAGAAGACTGAACCAAAACATCAGCGAAAATGGAGGCTCAGTAGCATGATTTAATATATTTTCCTGGATAAACAAATTTTCTTTTAAAAAAGTATATAGCTTTTTATCTAATAAAAACTTCCTAAAAATTCAATGTTCAGAATTAAATTTTTAATAAATCCAGAAAACCAGAGTTTGGAAAATAAAAGCAGTGTGGGTAGCAAGAGGAAAGAAAGAAGTGGGGAAAGGAGATTGGAATATCAAGTGTGACATCGCTGGCTTATTATTATTATTATTATTATTATTATTATTATTATTATTTTTCAGTCTATTTAAAACAGGTGATCTCTCTGTGACCCTGCAGGTAAAAAATCCTAGTGTTTTAGCTTTAAGAAAGCTTTAGGATTTCAGATATACAGATAAACCAATTTAAAAAACAAACACCTTTCTGTATAGTATTCTAAAGACTTTGAAGGATTATATAAAACTTTAAAATTCCTGTCACCCACATTTTAAGAAATAAACCTACACTTTAATAAGGTTCTCTTAAGATATAAAACGGTCTTGCCGAAACCGGTTTGGCTCAGTGGATAGAGCATCGGCCTGCGGACTGAAAGGTCCCGGGTTCGATTCTGGTCAAGGGCAGGTACCTGGGTTGAGGGCATATCTCCAGTGGAAGATGTGCAGGAGGCAGCTGGTTGATGTTTCTCTCTCATCGATGTTTCTAACTCTCTATATCTCTCCCTTCCTCTCTATAAAAAATCAATAAATATATATATTTTAAAAAGATATAAAACTGTCTTGAAAAAATTACATCCTATGCCGGGCTAACTCCTTCATCTGCCATAGGCACCAAGGGGCCAGTCATCCTGAGTCTCATCAAATCTGCAACAAATGAGCAGGCGCCTCACCCAGGAGGGACTCCCAGAACATCCTAAATTTACCTAAATAGCTAAATGCCCTCACCCAGTTTTACACTGACATCAATGCTAGTACAGTCTGCCAGAGGGATGTATGAGAGCCTCTTCATTCTTCACTTTCATGGCAAAGCTTTCTGTAAGGATTCTCTAAGCAGTGGTTCTTCCCATGAGAAGTGAGTGCTATCAATCCGACGCTCTAGCACATCTTTAAGTTGCTTTTCTGACAGTGTGTCCACTCTAATTCTTCTGTGCTCTCACACAGGCCTTTCTCCTGGTCAATAACCCACACTCACAGAGAACTCTGGTCCATATTCCTTTAGCCCAGCCGTGGGCAAACTACAGCCCGTGGGCCGGATCCGGCCCGTTTGAAATGAATAAAACTAAAAAAAAAAAAAAGACCGTACCCTTTTATGTAATGATGTTTACTTTGAGTTTATATTAGTTCACACAAACACTCCATCCATGCTTTTGTTCCGGCCCTCCAGTCCAGTTTAAGAACCCATTGTGGCCCTCAAGTCAAAAAGTTTGCCCACCCCTGCTTTAGCCCCTGTCTTTAAAGTCATCAAGCTGAGGGCCAGGAAACTGGGGAGTTATGAATTCATTGCTAATTGTATTATCCTATTCACCAAGAGGAAATTTTCTGAGTTCAACAGATTACAGCAGAGTTTCTTGATTTGGTGCTACTGCGGCTGCGGTGCCTGCCATTCACTGGATGATGTCTGGGGTACTCTTGTTCTCTAAGTCACCAGATGGAAGTTGCAGCTTCTCTCGTATATGACAACTAATGTCCCCCTCTAAACATTGCCAACTGGCTCCAGGGGCGGGGTAATTTCGCCCTTGCCTAAGAACCACTGGGTTAGAGGGATAAACACAGTGTACATATGTGTGCATGCTCACCCACAGTGTGTATTGTCACCATGGCGTAGGAACTTTCTTTTGGCTTTGCTTCTTTGGATGGATTTTTTCTCCTTTGCTGTTGTTTGTTGGGTTTTATTTTTTAAATATATTTTTATTGATTTCAGAGAGGAAGGGAGATGGAAAGAGAGATAGAAACATCAATGATGAGAGAGAACCATTGATCAAGCCCAAAAACTTGGCATGTGCCCTGACTGGGAATGGAACCATGACCTCTGGGTTCATAGGTCAATGCTCAACCACTGAGCCATGCAGCCAGGGCTGTTGGTTGGTTTTTAAACCTAAGAGAAATCTTCACTTTTATCTTAACTCCCATTTTGGGGGTCTGTTCATTTCAAAAAATATTTCTGAATAGTTAATTATATCTGGTAACTCTATTAACTACCACTGTGTGCTTAGCACTCTGCTAAGCATTTTATATGAAATTTTTACATTTAATTATCAAAATAAGAAAGAGGTCCTGTTAGTCTCACTTTACATGTGAAAAAAAATGGAAGCACAGGAATATTAAGTCACTGGACCTAGGTTTCACTGTGTTTGAATGAGAGTTGGTATTCAGACCAATTGCCTGAGAAAGGGCTTGTGTGCCTTCTTATCCCCTGCTCTCCCTTCGTGGGGAGTGACCTATACCATCACTAACGGGTACCCTCTTAACTTCTGACCTCGGGATATTAACAAATGTGTTGAAGTTTGGTCCATGAGTCATAGTCACAAATGTGAATTTAAATCATCTGCTATGTGCAATTTATGGAAACGTTGGTTTTAATCGCCAAGTTTGCAGAAGAGCCAGCACTGACTGTGGACACGTCTTTCACTTGTCACCACCAGAGCGTCTCTATGTGTTCCCCTGCCATTGGAACTACCGTCCTGACCACTGCATGTATGGCAGCAACTGCAAAAGGGCGGAGCTCGAAGGGGTGTCTGTTCTGCATGGGAACCGAGGCGTCTACCATGATGATAAGCAGCCGACTTTCAAAGCCCTATACGAAGCCATACGGGATGTAAGTATGTTCTTGCTACCATTCAGCAGGCATGTGCTTACAGCATGAAGCAGCGTGGATGCTTTAGTCATTCTCTTCTTTGAAGGCCAAATACTTCCCCACAAGCATTGAACTATACCAATTTTCCCCAAGCTAAGAAACTAATATACTGCGCTATGCTATGCTATGCTATGCTATACTATATTTTATTCACTCTTTACTTAGTATTTCCAAGTAAGTCACACACTTTTGTTCTCATAAATTCACTAATAGAGGAAATTTTATATCAGAAAGAGCCACCCTATGCCAATTGCCATAATAGAGGGTAGTGGGTCAGGGTGAAGATAACACAAAAAATGATATTCATTTCAAACTACTAGTGTGTTGCCTGATTGCCAGTTCCACCCTGTTGAGCAATCAGGTGTGGAGGTGGTCAGTTAGGACAAGGAGCCAACTGAAAACAACAGTCCAGTCATTATGTATTAGTATGTGCTGCGTCAGTGCACGCACAGGGCAAGGGGGCCCAGTGCCTCCTGCTCAGAGCTCCACAACACCCTCACCGAGCACTGACGAGAGCAAAAGAATCAGCACACACGCAGGAATCAACTCAACTCCTTCAGCCTTGTGGGCCCTAAGCCCGGGGAGGCTGGATGAGAAGGAAGGGAGAGAGGAAGAGAAAGGTCACTCCTCTCCTCTCCCACAAGAAGGCCTCCACATGGAGGTGCCTGAGATAGGAGTGCATACATGAATATGAGCCTTGGGCATAGGCACTGAGTGTGACTACAGCTCCCTCAAGAGATCTAGAGTGCACTGCTTATGCCCATGTCTGGTGTGGGGAGGACAGCGTTTCCCCAGAGGCCTCCCAAGAAGCCTGGAAATCGGCTACGGTTGAGTCAGAGATCACACACAGGGTTTTGCCTGGAACTCACTCCTCAAGGCTTGAGGCCCCCTCTCACTAACTTGAAGAGACTGGTTAGCAATGTTGAGGAGGACTTAAAGATATATGTGAATTATCTTTTGAGGTAAGTGGCATCATCGAAATAACCTTACTTTGAGGTTCACCACCTGAAATCATGTGAAGTACTGCCTGCTGGTACAGTAGACTCCCATATCCATGGGGAGTACTTTACAAGACCTAAGTGGATGCCAGAAACTGCAGGTAGTGCTGAGCCCTGTGTAAACTATGCTTTTTCCTATACAGCATTCCCCCCTTATTTGCGGATTCACTTTCCATGGTTGCACTGACTGGCAATCAATGACAACCTAAAAATATTAAATGGAAAATTCCAGAAATAAATAATTTAAACTTTTAAATTCCACACTTCCCTATGTAATGTGATGACATCATAATGCCACCATTCTTAAGTCATTTAGTAGCCATCTTAGTTATTAGAGTACATTGTTAAAATGGATCTATTTTACTACTAGTTATTGTTCATTTCTTACTGTGCCTAATATATAAATTAAAATGTTTTATTGTTGACAGTATTATAGATGTCCCCGTTGTCCCCCACTTTGACTCCCTCCACCCAGCTACTACCCCAACCCAGGCCTTCACCACATTATTGTCTGCTCCCATGAGCTATGCATATATGCATACACGTTCCCTTCCTGTCACCCCCATACCCTTCTACTCTGGCATCTCAGTGTGTTCATGCATCCATGCCTCTGGACCTATTTTGTTCATCAGTTTATTTTGTTCATTAGATTCCAAAAACAAGTGTGATCATGTGATGCTTGTCTTCCTCTGACCGGCTTATTTTGCTTAGCATATTACTCTCCAGGTCCATCCATGCTGACTCAGAGGGTAAGATCCTTCTGGGTTTTTTTGTGTTGTTTTTTTTTTAATTAAATCTTTATTGTTCAGATTATTACATTTGTTCCTCTTTTATCCCCCCATAACTCCCCTCCTCCCAGTTCCCGCCCCACCATCCGCCCTCACTCCCCACCCAATGTCCTCATCCATAGTACATGTTTCAGTCCGTATATGTTTAATTTTTGTCCAGTATCTTCCCGCATCTCCCAAACCCCTTTCCCCCACAAGAATAGTCAGTACATTCCCTTTCTATGTCCCTGATTCTATTATAATCACCAGTTCATACTGTTCATCAGATTATTTATTCACTTGATTCTTAGATTCACTTGTTGATAGATGCGTATTTGTTGTTCATAATTTGTATCTTTACCTTTTTCTTCCTCTTCCTCTTCTTAAAGGATACCTTTCAGCATTTCATATAATCCTGTTTTGGTGGTGATGAAATCCTTTAGCTTTTCCGTATCTGTGAAGCTCTTTATCTGACCTTTAATTCTGAATGATAGCTTTGCTGGATAAAGTAATCTTGGTTGTAGGTTCTTGGTATTCATCACTTTGAATGTTTCTTGCCACTCCCTTCTGGCCTGCAAAGTTTCTGTTGAGAAATCAGCTGACAGTCGTATGGGTACTCCCTTGTAGGTAACTGAGTTTCTTTCCCTTGCTGCTTTTAAGATTCTCTCTTTGTCTTTTGCTCTTGGCATTTTAATGATGATGTGTCTTGGTGTGGTCCTCTTTGGATTCCT